ATAAAAATATTTAAAATTTTTTATTAAATTAAAAATTTAGATGTAAAATTTTTCAATACAAATATAATTAGATTATTACAAAATTTAATTAATATGCATATTTAAAAATTTTAATATTTGCAAATTAGTGGAAAATTCCAAGCGAGGCGCTTTCTAGCGAGGCACTTGCCGCGCGGCAGATTAGTCATTCTCATTTAAATGTAGCAAAGATATTTGAATTAAAAGTGTGGTCATTACTAGGCTGTTTTAAATAAATTAATTATGGTATTTTATACGCAAATATTTTAATGATATTTTATTAACATTAAATTAAAATTCTTTAATAATTGATAATTATAATAAATCTCAAGGTACTTTTAGCCAATTATTATTTATAGAATATTGATTATTTAACTTTATCTTACTCTAGTTGTAATATTTGGAAATATTTATTTAAAATTTTTATATTCATAGTAATAGCAAATAATTATGTACATTACATTATATTTACCACATTTATTGCTATGCAAAGCATTTATTATATTAAATATAAATTTTGTAAACTTTTAAAAATACAATGAAATAAAATTTTCAAATGGCATCAATAAAACAAATGATATTTTTATAAATAACTAATTGCACATATACAATGTATGTATACAATATACAATACAATGTATATTTATCGATTGTATAACGTAAAATATTGGTCGTATAAATATGTAAACTATTGTCAAGTTTGCATGCATTTTATTGTGCACCTATCATGCTATTACAAAGCTGCATTATACAGTAAAGTATTTTTACATAAATTCTGTACAATGTACTAATACTGGTCATTAAAGCAATTAAATATGATTTATTATTGCAAATTATAGTAATTACCAACAATAAATCAATGTGGTGCAGTTATTTCATTATTTAAACATGAAAGATCAATTAACTCAAATTAAATATAACATTTATCAATTTTTATAAAACACCACAAAAGTAAAACAATAATTTTTAAACTTAAAAACTTAACATGGACATTGATCCAAATCTCATACTACCGGACAAATATCTAATCAAAGGGGCCGACAGCCATCTCTATCGTATCGGTCTATCGCACTACCGGTGCTCATCGGACTGGACACGAAACAAAACACACCATCCCATTCTTGTATTCATATCAGCCGTACACTTATTTGCACACCAGTTGGCAATCCTACTGTTGTCACCTGAATCCGGGCCCAACACCCATCTGTACGCCGGTGATACTGGCTATTTCATCGGGGTACAAGTGCCGCTGGCACAGGCCTGTGCTCTAGTAGGCCTATGGGGACTGTTGGCCAAGTATTACAACTATGCCAACCATGTAAACCACGTTCAACCAACGGATTTACGTGTATTTCGCATGATGTCCGGTCGAATAGCACCCGTCAATGTCGGTCTGTCCGATAGTAAACAGGTGTTAAAGCTGTTGTCCGTCAGTCGCCGTGCGCTGTATATAACGGGTGTGTTTAGTCGAGTCGTGAAGTACTGTATTTTCTTTATCATATCAACCGTTGTGTACACGAGAATACCTACCCGTCAATGGATTATAGGTAATATTTTATTAACAGCATCTAGTTGTAAATATTTGTAAACGATACCCATTTAATTTATAATGAATTTAGGAAATTTATTTTGCTCTAGATTTAAATTTATTATTAAACTTATATTATTCATTCGTTTAGGTATACCGTACACTTTTCTATGGCCAATATTGGCTCAATACTCATTTAACATAATAGTTTATCAATTTTCATATTATTATATAATCACATATTATTTGCGACTAAAACTCAAAACTGCTCACAATTACATTAATGTGGCTATAAATCAATGCAAACAAACTAGTGTTCAACAAATACCACCTCATATGATTCACACAATATTAACTAAATTGCAGGCATTGTTCGCTGAGATCGATGAATACAACACTATTTATTGGTGTAAATTTTTAGGCACCCTATGGCTAATAATTAGCGGCGAGGTCGCATCGATGACCTATCTCACTTTATTTGGTAATTCGAATACAATATTAACTATTTTATTTGCGTTTGTTACCGTGTATTTTGCCGCTATATTATTGTTTATCATACGTATATCGGCAATGATTTATGATGATGCTAATAGTACGTACGCGCCGTTGAACACCCTGTATATTGTTATGCGATGCAAATCTAATGTGTTAAAATTTAAAGTAATTATATTTATTTTGTGTGTGTTTAGTTGATTTAAGTCTATGCTTGTTTATTTTATATTAACTAGTTTAATTTATTTATATTTATTGCTTATAGTTATTATCATTGATACAAATGATGGGCAATAAAAGGGTTGGTTTTTATTGTTGGAAGTTTTTTATTATTAATACGTTTAGGGGATATGAGGTGTGTATATAAATAAATTATTGTGGTTAATTTAATTATGCATCAATTTATAATTTTATATTTAATTATATTAGATTTTAATTATGACTGCGATGATTTTCCTGAAGATCGTGGAGCTAGAACGCTGCAAATAAAATATTACCATAATTATTAATGTAAAATTGGGTAATAATTGGTGTTTTATTAAATGTAAACTAATTCCTACATTTTATTTATAAATTTTAATGTACCACAATAAAGGTTTATTTTCTATAACTACTTAAATTAATATTGTAATACACAATATAATAATTATTGTATATAACTAAAGTGGGTAAATCCCTAATAATTAAAATTAAATGTCCATAATCTATGGAGTAACAGTGCAAATCTTACACAATACAAATTTTTAAAAACATAAATAAAAACATTGATACTTTAAAATTAAAATAACACGGTCAAATTATACAAAGTGCATTTTAAGTGTACTAATACTAAACCAGATAAATATCAATAAGTATAAAATTTTATCACTTTTCTTTTCAAAGTACATTTGCACTTTAAAATGAATTTATTATCCTTGAATTATAATCCATTGTTGCATTTATTATACAGGTATTAAAAATATATGCTTGTATGAATTACATGTAAAATAACAAAATGTTATGACAGATTAAACTAAAATAACATTTTTGAATAATTTTAAATGTTCTAAAATATTATATAAAACATATAATTAATACACAAAGATACATGTATATAACATTAGTACTACTAATGCATTACAAAGTAATTTATCCTTTGGTTTTGATGGGCATATAAATACAAGTTATAAATCACTTTAAAATCATTCAATTCTATAGTTAAATCAAAGATACATAAGTAAAGTATATAACCATAAGTCCAAAAGACAAACATTATGTCTAAACTACTGTTTACTTTACTACTGGCGCTGGTTATGGGCTGTTCAGTGGTCTACTCGCAGATGGATCTGTCGGGTATGGAAAGGGCTGTAAAAGTAGTTTGCGGACCAAAATTAAGCAAGGAGAATAAAGAAATTGTCAATACATGCGATAAAATGATTCCATCTTTTGTAAGTTATATACATGTATTCATCTATTAATTAATTTGATAATTAATTGTTTCAATAGGTTCGATCGGGATTTAACTCTTGTGTTAAACAAGTACTCAAAGTGAACAAAATGACCAAACCAGCAGTTTGCTATCAAGCTGGTACGGATGGAAACAAGGTCTAGTTACTTATTATGACCTCTCTCTCTCTCTCTCTCTCTCTCTCTCTCTTTCTCTTTCACTCACTCACTCATTTATAATATATTCTAACTAACAATATAGTTAATGTTAAATTTATGGCCCAACTTAATAGCTCACTCCATGCATACAACGCAAAGCCAAAGCCCATGCAAAGCGTATGCCTCCGGGAATGAACATTGAGTCGCTGACTAAACAATTGACAGCTGATTACACGGCCTGCATGAACAGGATTAATTAATTTGATCATGTTATGACATATAAATACCTTATACTTGATAATACTATTTTATAATCTGTATATCAATATTAATTGCAATTAATCTTTTATTAATAAATTGTATAGATAAATAAAAATTTGCATTAAAAACATTCTTTTAAAAATAATATACTGTATATTGTTTATTCTATAAACTTTATTATAAGTATATTCAAAAGTATTAAATAAGTATGAATAATTAAAAATAAATTGAGAAACTACAATGGATCTCCACTAACCACAAATTATCAGTAATAGTAATTATGCTTTAAATATACATCATTTAATTTATATAGAAAATTATTAGAATTGATTAGAACAAAATTCTACAGCATAAACAATATTATCTTTATTTAGCTAGAAATGTATTTAAAAATGTACAAATATTGTTATTAAATTATTTACATAGAATTTTAGCAAAATATGGTATAGAGATTAAAATTCATAGTTTGCATGTGCAGTTAGATAACATTAAATAAATGTGTTGCCATTTATTAAACATTATAATTTCATTAACAACTAGGTAAGTTTTAATTTAGCTAAATATTCATTTAAATTGTACACTATAATTGCAACATAGAGTGTCAAACATGAGTAGCGCAAAAACTAGTGTTGCCAGAAAATATCCAATCCCGGAACACCCTGTCCGCAATAAGTACCAGGAGTGTCTATTTGTAAGAAATCTCAACTTGCTTCTAGAAATTAATAAATGGTGGTTTGAGTACTCGCTATTTTCACCAAGGGACTTTCCCAATCTGTGCGCCGATAGCGCCATCACGTTCACAGGTTTATTTTACCCTAATTGGAGATCTATGGACAAGTTTCTACATATTGTTAAATGCGTTGGATATTTATTTATTTGGGATGACCATCATGATTCCGATAATCAATTATTAATAATACAAATGAGTCAATGTTCAGACTTATTAGAGGACCTGTATTTACGTGATAGAAATGACCCTGACAGAAAGCGATATAAATTCACGGACTTGTTTAACTGGGAAACATACGTCTTGTGTATTTACACGGTGTGCGACATCATAATGGCTGGAATGCCGGACACCCAACAGCGCCGTCTGATATCCAGCTGGCGATCCTATTTAGACGGTCAGCAAAAATCCAAACAAATAATCGATAAGCGGGAAAATGTAGACCTAGATGAAATTAATAAAGTAAAGTCGAGTTTGTCATATAAAATCAATTTTAATCTACATTATTAAGATTTATGTAATTTAAGGCAATTAGTGGTATGGAAATTATAATAGCATTGATTGAATACTCGGACGAAATACATGTGCCGGACAACGAGTGGTCTGACCCGCGGATCGCACGGCTCCGGGATCTCTGCAATCTGTCAATCGTTTACTTGAATGACGTCTACTCTTTCGAGAAGGAGCTCAACGAACAGAACGGAGTATTGGAGCAAATGCTCGTCAATACAGTCGCCTATCACTCGCTCCGGGAGGGCATCACTATAGCCGCAGCCATGCGTAAGACACTGGACGCCAAGCGGGACATTGCGTCGGAGTTCGACCACTTGTGTGCCGATGTGTTGGCTTCGGACGAGTTTAGTGCCGATACTAAACAATTTGTGCGGACATTGGATACTATGATTGCCGGTAATTATCGTTTATTAGTCGCCTCGCGATAAACTTTACAATTAAATGTGTGAATTAAAACTCAATTATTATTAAATTAATTGATTAATTTTGATAATCATTTAATATTTTGTAAATTATAATTATATATTGCTAACAACTAATAAAATTACAATCAAATTTATAAATTGAATTGATTATATCGTTTCAAAATCACACAAATGCCATAATTTCCGGCCAACACTGTATCCAATGCGCGCACAAACTGTTTCGTATCGGCGCTAAACTCTTTCGACGCAAACACGTCGGCACTCAAGCGGTCGAACTCCGACTCAAACTCCCGGTTGTCGTCCAGTGTCTGACGCATAGCCGCGGCAATAGTGATGCCCTCCCGGAGCGCGTAATACGCGACCATATTTACGAACATTTGCTCCAATACTCCGTTCTGTTCGTTGAGCTCCTTCTCAAAAGAGTAGACGTCATTCATATAAATGGTCGACAGATTGCAGAGATCCCGGAGCCGTGCGATACGCGGGTCACACCACTCGCTATCCGGCACATGGATTTCGTCCGAGTACTCAATCAACGCAAACACTGTATCCATTCCACTGCCGCCCAAACGTATCTAATATTAATAGATCTAGCTTAAATCAAATTTATAATTAATATATCACAATATTAGCACTAAGCGCAAACCTCTCGCATAACATCCATGTCCACTAACTGTTGATTGTCCATCATCATATTTTCCAACACCTGTCCATTCAAATAGTAACGCCAGCTGTAAATAAACCGGCGCCGTTGGGTGATTGGCATTTGTTTTAATATGGTATCTCCGACCGCATATGTGGCCAACACATAGGGTTTCCAAACAGACATATCACACCAAGGTGGTTTACGTATGTCACCAAACTTACCAGGAATATATTGGCTCTCGAGCAAAGCGCAACATTCATAGTAATGATCAATTATTGGCGTACCGGTGGACACCCGGCGATTCACCTGCCCTTTGTTACTATCATTATGATCATCCCACACAAATAAGTACCCGGCCAATTTAACTAACCCTTCGAACCGTTCCCTAGATTTACAATTGGGATAAAATAGAGCTGGAAAAATTAGCATGCTCTCCGAACACCGGAGTTTGAATAGATCACGTTGTATTCCGGAATATTCATATCACCAGTCAATAATAGGCTGTAGTTTTTGGTGGTCCGACACCAATGGGCACATCCGGTACGGGTATCGACCGGTCGGGTGCGTTGGGATCAGGTATTTGCGCATTTTAATTGCATTTTTGAACTTTGTTGTTACACGGTTCATTTTTATTTAGTAATGAACATTTTATTATATTATTGTATTTTTAGTATTATAGATTAACATTGAAATACAAATAATATCAGCGGTTACTATAATTTCAAACAAATTTAAACATAGGTTATAGAACATCTGTGCCAATCAATAATGTTTGTTTAATTTACCTTAATTAATATCAAAAACAGATTTTATTTTGTTTTTGTTCAGTATACAAGATATGGACTTAAATTTTGTATGTTTATCCACTTATGTTTATTACATTATTTATATTGCGGCATGATTTAATTAAAAATTTATTCTAAAATATTTAATTTGTTTTTAGCAATAATGTTTGGTATAATTGAAAATATGTTTAGTTTTAATCCATACAATATTTACGAGTAAGTGTATCGTTAGTAAGTGTATCGCAAATATATATAAATATCTATAGTAGGGAATATACAAACAATTGACTAATGTCTTGTTTTAGACACATTCAAGTTTATAATGTGAACATTTACCAAAGTGCCCATGGTATATTGATAATAGGTTTTTGCCAATTTATAGATTTAATCTGAATTTGACAAATATATTATATGACAATAAATCTATTTATTGTAATAAAAAGCTAATACATTTAGACATTTATATTTTGTTGCTTCAGGCAATAAACGTTTTGTCATAAAATATTTAATATACAATATATTTATATCATTATATCATGTTTAATACAATATTAAAACAGAATTACATTTAAATATATAAATAGAACATAATTTTGTAACATGCATGATAGAAGTTGTATTTATTAAAATATTATCTATTTAATAAATAGAGACACTGTTAAGTAAAATTCAATAAATGTTATAAAGAAAATATACAATATACTTAATATAATTAAGATATTAGAAATTTTAATATGAAATAAGCATGTTGATTTATATAAAAATAAAATAGTCTTATGGGATATTACAACAGGCACCATTTGTTGTAAGCTTGTTAATTATGGCCAACATTATGACTGTTAAACAATTGAACACAACTTTTCAATACGGTCAGCTCAATGGTTAATTCCGGATCATCGATATAGTTTTGCCATTCACTAAGCTTAAATACTAATTGACGTACAACTTTTGCTTTAGCATACAGTTTTAGTTGTGTCCACAATAAATAACAATCGTATGTAAGCAATAATATACCGATATTTATAACAAAATATACATCTATGTATTCATATAGTGTTAATAGTATTGATAAAGTAAGTATATTAAGACTTACATAAGTCGCAAAAATAAAATAAATTAAAGTGTCCACGTTATTTGCCAATACTGATTGAAAATGTATAAATGCATGTAAATGCTGTTGACATTTAACAATCTCAGTGATTGTTGGTTCGTGATTGTTATTAGAAAAAACATGGTCATAAAAATTGGCAATTATTTTCAGGTATCTTGATCTGAGCTCGTAGTATATGGTGCACAGGGATAGCATCCAACCGGTCCAGTGTAGGCCAACCACACCATACCTGGGCTTAATTCCAAAAGGCAATAGTGCCAGGTCAAATATTCTGTCAAGTGGATCATGATTTAGCAGTAAGTACGCTGAGCTTAGTATTACTACCAGATTCATTATTATAACCATGTACAAATGAAAGTTGTCATACAATATGTCCAAGTAATTAGGTTTTAAATATACAAAGATGGTATTATTTATATTGTACATATCTTGATTTACTTGATAATTACGTAACTCTCGGTAAGTTTGAAATATTTTGTCCGATCGGTGTTTAACCATACAGAATGTGGTAATTAAACTTAAAATGATTATGATCTGACAAAGTTTCATTATGATCATTAATTTATTACTGTTTGATAAGAAAAGTGTGAACGGTATTTGAAGTATAAATGTGGTAAATATACTTATGGTAAGACCAGTCAGTATATTGTTTGCTGTTTTGTTGGCACAGTTTATGCCAAATATAATGAACATGTATTCAAACATTTTTTTATAATTACAAATATTAGAATATTCTTTAGAAAATTACATTTAATATAAAGTTATATTATTGATTTTGTAATTTTAATTAGGGATTAAGTTTTGAAGTTAGGCTTGTGTAAGAATACTACAGTATTGTAATATTTAGTAATTATCTAATAATGTAGATACGTAAAACTTTATATTAAATAGCTAAAGCTTTATAAAGCCTTATAATTAGCCATATTGTATATCAAAATATAATACTTAATTAATTATTTTTGTTTTTAACTTATTATTGATTTTAGGCCAATATTGAGTTACAGTTTTGCATGTACATTTATTAAATTATGGTACCATATCTAAATTAACAAACAAAGCAATATGTTAATTAGTGAATTAATTATAATTATATAAAAATGAATTATATGCTAAATAGAAATGATCTAAATATTTTTTAAAAATTACATCGATTTATTAATTAAAATAAATTATTTTTATTGTTAAAATAAAATGTATTAAATATAAGTTGGTTTTTTGGACACTAGAATTTTTGTATTTTGTTAATGATAAGATGTTACAACATATAATATCCCAGTTTATGCAGTTTACTGCTGGGAGACAAATCTCCCAGTTTATGCATTAAGTGCAGATAAAAAATTAGCACTATTTATACTGCGTGAAAAAAGTTACATTGCGCATAAACTGGGTAAATAATATCCCAAACGTTAATTTGACCGCGATTTAACCATGATAATTAAATTTTATAACAATATAACTTTAAATATTTATAAACCTAACTATTTGTTAGGCATTACTGAATTTTTTTCTGGCTAGCACTCTTCATTGATTTTTAATTGAAAT